GAAATGCTTATCTCCCTGAGCGCGGCCTTCACCAAACCATTCCGTCACAGGAACCAAGGTTTTTGCAGTCTGCTTGTGAGTCGGGTGGCTGAGAGTCAAGGGATTCCATCTAAGCTCACAGTCGTAATGCAACCTATATAGACAAGGTTCAGCTGATCCTCATTTCTTAATCACTTTTGAAACTGATTTTTTTACTGCCTTTTAAATATTGAGACCCTTTGGAACAGCAAATTTTATGGCATTTATTGGGTGAGTTTCCTTCACTCCTTAATGAAAGAAGTTTTAAATATGAATTTAAGGACTTAGAATTTTTTTTTTCTGGATTAAACAGCAAAAGGGTGTTTACAGTGTTAATTTTGAAAAGTTATAAATGGACTAAGGGTCCAGATGGATTTGAAATAAAATTTTGAAATTAACTATAAGAATCCTTCCCATGGGAAATGGCTGCTGTTATGAAATCTAAAAAGAAAAAAAAACATGATAGGATGGGACTTTGAAGTTTGGACACTACAGGGAACCAGAAGGAGTTAAAGATTACAATTAAAGGAGAACACCTAAAACAGAATGGAGCAAAATACTTTAACACTGGAGATATTGAAAGGTATTTGTGAACAATGGACTCAAAAGTTAATTTTCAGAATGTCTGCCATTTATAGATAGACAGTGTGCAAATGATGTTATGGAAGAGGAACAAGTTCTACTGGACAAGACTGAAATTGATTTAAATGTAGATTTAAAAATGACAGGCTACAAGAATGATATGGAAAAAGATGAAATATCGGATATACAAATGGAACCCGCTGATTTTTTAATAACTGATAGGGATGAACTGGCTAAAACTGGATATACAAATGGTACCAGCTGATGTATTAATAATTGAAAAAGGCTTACAAATAATAAACCAGAAGAGTGACTTGGACACTTTTTCCTATACTGGATTTACAAAAGAGACCTGTTAAGTTCTGAAGGATTTTATGAGAAGAGATAAAAAATGAAAAAAAATCAAATTCCAGGACAGTGTTTGAAGGGATTAAATATCAAAATTGTTAAAAGTAAAGGGAAGGAATATAAAGTTGGTTTATTTGATCACAGTTAAAATAGCTATATTGCTATATCTAGTAAACGTTAATGGATTTTTGCTGACTAGGACTGAATGATGAAGTTTGTTGATAGATAAGAGAGCGGATATGGGAAGAAGAGTTCATCTGTTGTAAGTTTATCTGATTAACATTAAAATAGTTATGGTGGTATTTCTGGTAACTTTTAATGGAATCTTACTGACTGCTGAATGATGAGGTTTTAAAGATTTATTTTTAGACAAGAAATGAGATATAAAAGTAAAAGGAAGGAATATAAAGTGGATTTATTTGATTGGTTTAAAATAGATACGTTGTTATTTCTGGTAACCCTTAATGGACTTTTGCTGATCAGGAATGAATGATGAGGTTTTAAATTTGTTTATTGATAAGAGATGCTATATGGGATGAACTGATTGTTTTATTTTATGAGAGGGTGATAAGTTGTTAAAAATGTTTATACTTGTTGTGACAAATGGGGAAGTTACTTTCTTATATATTTCTTTTCTTTTTTATATCTATTTTTCTTTTTTTCTTTCTTTTTCTATTCTTTTTTTCTGCACTTTTTATTTTTTCTGTTCTTTTATTTTTTGTAGTTTGTATTTGTTTTTTAATCTGTAATCTATATACGACTAAAACTCTCACTGTGTTTAGCTGTTTGTCTATTTGTACCCTCAAGTTAGCCCAAGGTGCATTATACTACAACAATTTTTGAATCAAAGTACAGCCTAAAATGCAATGTTCATTCTGGTCATATCAGACTGCACTACCTTTCTCTCAAACCATGACCCAACAAGTCATAGGGTTGTCTAGTACCTAATAAAATTATTATAAAAAAAATAATTAGAAATCAATCCAATAAAAGTAGCTCAGAACACAGTGAACAAATATTAGCACTATAACAACGAACACAACACAATGGTCTCGGTTCTGTCCCTACATTTAAAACAATGCTCTGGCATAAGACCAAGTGTATATCCATCCATCATAACACAGGTGTTACAAGTGGGGTGGAACAACCAGGCCCTACATTAACCCACTAATGAAATAACTCTCTTTTAAAGTAGATGCTATTTCCACAGAGACTAAAGGAAGAAGGGATAAGATTCATGTGGCCAAATCCCTAAAGTCCTGAAACTTACAACCTGTGATCCTGAAGTAAGAAACTAAAAGAAGACCCTTTTCAGAAGAATGTAAAAAACAAACAGGATTATAGAGAGAAATAAGGGCAGATGGCATTTCTGATTGAGGATCCTAAACACAACCCCCAGCAGTTTAAACTGACTTGAATAATGACCCCCTGAAGAATCCTGTGCTGTACTGAGACATGAGAATAACATGGAAGGTCCAGAACAGCCCAATGAATGTTTTGGACTAGGTTCAAAGGACAAAGAAAGGAATTAGGAACATCAGCCAGGTGACTATTAAAAAATCTTGGCATGAGACATCAAGGCACACACCAATAACACTATACTTTCCTCTATCAGAAACCCTCAGATCCTACAAATATTCTCTCTAATGCTCACCTAACACTGCTATCCTGAACTGACTCCCTTCTTCACTAGCTACCTTTAAGTTACAAAGCATATCACAGTATCATTCATGAATGCTCTGCATCATTTATAGTTTGGTTAGAACAATGTCAATGATGTAGAATGCTAGTATTCTATGTGCTTATCCAATTCTTTTATGAGACAAGACAAAACCTTTTATGAGACAATACAGATACAGAAGTCATTAAGACTGCCTTTGAAGATGGTCTAGGAGTTTCAGCTAATTCAGAATTCAAATATCTGGTTATTATCAAAGCATATAACACTGTTTCTCTACCAGGTTCCCAGCCAATATTGTGCTTATCAGCCTAAAATGTTTTTGGTCCAGATAACATGAAAGCCTGCCTGAATCTATATGAATCTGCCCTGGGCTCTAACATAGGGCCTCTAACTTGCTGTCAAGTAAGAGTTATCACACTGACTAGCAAAAGAGGTATGATATTTTTATGGTAGCCTTTCTGTTATGACTACATGGAAGCTCACCTGCTCCAAGATCAGAATCGTACAAGCCA